AAGTATTTAGAATTATTTCACTTCAGGTGAGATTCTCCCTTTCCCTCCTTTTCCCACTCTAAAGGGCGTTATTTTCTCTCAGTATTATGATTATTATATTTACACAATTTCTGTTTTATTTATCTTTCTGTTTTCTGATTTTTGTTTGCGTGTTTTATCAAACATGTAATACTTTGGGAGGACACAGTGATTGAATTATTTATGTTACTGGTATATTTTTACTTCTAAGATACCAGCACTGACAGGAGCTCCCTACCAGGAGAATGAAGGGTGACTCTGTGATGGGACTGTAGGGTAGTTTTAATCCTTGCCCTAGAGGCCTAGTGCAACACTGAACCCTTTGCCTACGGGACCACAGTTAGGCATATTGACAAATCAAGCATGGAAATTAGGCCACAGTTAGGCTTATTGACACATCATACATGGCAATCTGTTTTCTTTTGTTTCACAAATTCCATAAATAAACATCTATCAAATACTACTGTTGTTTGTTGTCTTTTTAGACCATCATCACCATCCGATAGTTGGTTGTTCAAACTGCCCTACTTTTGTCGTCTGTCCTAAAAACATTTTTTTATCATTGATTCTAGAGAAGTGTTTAGGTTCACTCTGGTCCTTAGTTCATAATTGATTTAGGTAGAAAGCTAAATCGCCATCTTGGTTTCTAATAAACATAGATTGTTATTGCTTTTTTTTAACGAGTGGATCTTTCTCATATTTCATAAGATAGTTCCCCTTTGGCCTTAGATGTGCTCTTCTGATTTTGGGACTGATCAAAATACCAAAATGGCAAACATGTGGCCATCTTTGATTTCAATGGGGAAAGTTTGTACTTGGTACATCTTCTCAAATTTCATAACTATGCATGTCTCTAGTTGTGCTTGTTTAATTTTGAGACTAATCAGTGAAACAAAACGGCAGACACATTGCAAGTTTGGATTATTATCACTATTTCTCAAATGGAATTTATAGAATGCATATGATTATTACAAGGAAAATAGAAATGAAGAGAAAAGATCAAAACTTTTATAGAACAAGACAAAGATCAAATTAATGGTACGGGTCAAGGTCCTTCTGAAATCTCTTTAGAGTTTGAACATTGTGAACCTTAATGCTTCCATTAAGACCATTTAGCTATCATTGTAACATAAGCAGTTTGTAGCGCACTGAACTTTCTGATAGTATCCATATTTTTCTCTGTGTATTGTTGTTCACTAAAATCTTTGTCATTTCTCACAAAAGTTCAAGAAAGAATGAAACTATGCAATTGGAATGCCACTGAATTGGACCCAAGAGATGACCTAAATACATTAAATTCTATCAATAACTTATCAAGAATTTTTGCAGTAGAAGATAGCATGAGGCTTAAATGAAGGGTTTTGATTTCATAGGTCAAATCTGTACAGGATATCTAAGTATTATAAGACCAGGTTATATTTTCCTGTATTTAACTTACAGCTAACTACAAATTTTGAAGCTATCAGATGGTAAATACTGACAGTTTATCATGAAATAAGCCAAGGGAGGTGACCTCGGACTCCTGGGGTGGGCTTATTATTTGTCAATGAAATAGAATCTGTTAGTTAGTGAGCAGTAATTATATTGAGTGGGATTATTACCAAGCATAAGGCTGTTGAAAATAAAAAAAGTAAAATATGCGTAAAGATCTAAGACTAGATATATGAGGACTGATTGATAAGTTGTGAGCCCCATATTTAACGGTTTTACTTCTGGTAGACATATTGCATTATTTTTCAACATAATCCCCTTCAGTATCTATACACTTTTGCCAGCAATGTTTCAGGGCCTCAATGCCACTTTTAAAGAAGTCTTTTTCTTCACCATTCAAAAAGTCCTCCACTGCAGGTATGACATCATTTGAATGAAACTGGGTACTTTTTCAATTCAATTTTGGAAATAGATGAAAGTCTGATGGAGCGAGATCAGGTGAATAAGACAAAGGCTTAATCAATTCAAAGCCACAGGATCTGCCCCTAAACGGTTTGATTAGCATGCGATAAAGAGCCTGGTGTGCTTCAGATCAACTGTTGGAAGTCTTGGTATCCAACAGGCTGAAAGCTTTCTCATTGCAAGATCTTCCGTAAGTATGGTATGTAATCGTTATTGTGAAATCCCAGCTGCACTGGCTCTATATCTCTCTGTAACTCGCCCGTCAGCCATGGCAATATCGGCCACCCACCTTTTCACTGTAGCATATGAAGGGGCATCATTCCCTAGTGTTGCTACCATATCAGTATGGATATCCTTACTTACTTGACCTTTCTTATGGAAATGTTGAATCACACTGCTCTTTCCAACTATTTTTTTCGGTTTTGCCTTGTTTACTTTATAGTGCTAATTCTTCAACATAAACTGACCAAATGACACTAGTCTTAGGGTACACAGCTTTAAATTGTCAGGGAAGAGTAAAGTGGAAAAAGGACATCCCTTCTTAATTTCTTCAATGCAAGGCTCACAACTTATCAATCAGCCCTCATATTAGCAAAAAAGAATGCTTAATTTTTACGGTAATACTACCAGTTAAGCTAATTAAGTAGTGATAGCGGTTAACGTATCTAAGGAAGTCCTATAGTTAATATTTTATCACTGTATTCTGTGACAAATCAACAAACTACAAAATTTATAAAAATAGTAATTTAATACCTTAAATTGTAAAATCTAGATACAAAAGTAACAAAACATAGATAAAAGATTTTAATTACATCTCCAAGATGTAGTTACATGGACTGGACATAAAATTGTTTTGAAGAAACATTTTGAAAACTTCTCTGTTTACAAACACATGATTTACAGTAAAATGAAATTAATAAAACATGATGTTAGTAAAGATATATTAAAATAATTTCAATGATATTTACAGTTAAAACAAAATTAAATGTTCCTTTGAAAAAATTTCTATCCAATATTTAGAGAAGTTGAGGCTATTTTCTACCTATATAGCTAGAGGTATTTACATACGCAAGTTCTCGGTTGTGCACTACCTTGGTATACAGCTTTATGCATATTGGAATAACAGCTTAATCTTTAATATTACTCTGAATTATTTTGCAAACTTACCACTTCAGACATATTTGAAATACATGATCTCCCGAATGTTGATCCAGTAATGCCTTTAAATTTTCGAATGAACATGGAGTCATACCCAATTGACATGGATGCCAGCAAGACTAATTTAAGTACAAATACCAGCAAGGGATTTGAATTAGTGATTGACTCTCCTCGTGTATTGATGCAAAAATTAATTCCACACAAAATGTTAGTGATTTACAGTATAAGATTCCAATATGTACATTTTCCATACTTTACAATGTATGTATACATTATTGGACGATATTATATAAAACAACAATTGAACTTTATCATGTACCTGGCAGTGCCATTGTCAAAACACAGCTGCCATATATATTTTTGCTGTGTTTGTTAGTGACGGAAAGCAGCTGTGTTTTAGCATGTGCGGTAATTCAACTGAAATATACTCTCTGAATTTACTTTGAAAATATGTTTAATAATATAAATAACTGTTGAAATAAGTGATTTTATTTGTTGTAATGAATAAGTTTATTTATGAAAATTCATAAAATCACTGTCATATCCATTAAATTTTGAAACTACATTTCTGCACAGAGCAATTATTTTGGTGAACGTCATCGGGCAAAATTCAGCAAAACGTCGACAGGTAAACAAAGACTGAAGAACAAACTACTGAAGTTTCGATTTTCTGATTTTCATTCAATGTTGCAGGATAAACAGAATACATGGCCAGTGTCTTAGAATGTAAGCTGTATTTTGACTTGGGACCCTTGCTAAATATACAGCTGATATTTTAAGACACTGACCATGTATTCTCTATAGAAACATGCCTGGCTTTGATTTCCCATGGACAACATATTTTGTCCATGGAAACCCTGGGAAAGACTGGAGTTATACAGTTTTCCATGTTTTTACTTCCAGTCCCAGCTAAAAACATCCAGAACAATGTCCGTAGGTAATGGAGATCTTAGAAGTGGATATTCTACCACTGGGTTTCAAATTTACAGCACAACTCTCATAAGGAGATAAAATGTCTATCTAAATCAAAGGTGATAGCTGATCTGTTGAAAAAGTTTTTTATCCATTTTTAAATAGAACTGTACCTCTACAACAAATGATATGACACATCAATTACCCTGTACAGTAGAGACCAATGTAATGAATTATTATACATTTTGATTGTACATTGCTTATCATAATTTATTCTATTAGAATTACAATTAAAGAATAAAAAACCTTGCAGCACATGAAGTACTGTGATCCACTTTTTTAACGATGATAGTGTAAAAGTTAATGTGGAATGGAACCCCAAACTCTGTGAAAGTGAAGTCTCCTACCTTGTTATACTTTGGTAAAGTAAGATAATTTACCACAGCTAAATATTGTATACAATGTATATTTTACTATTGATTTGGCTTTGATAGAGATAAAACATATCACTGTGATTACATATACATGTATCTAACTACAGGAAGGCAGAAAAAACTTTTTCTTTCACTGGTTTGGGAAGACACCTTTTTACCCCCATCTTGGGAAATTGGTAAATTGTGAAGGATATTTTCAGGAGTAAATTGCAAATATTTAAGGGAATTCAACATAAACATGAAATAAGTTCATTTGGGACTGATGTCAGGAAATTCAGAATACCTTTACATGTAGTTTTTGATAAAAGCACCTTAGACAAGCAATATTTTCAATGATCTTACAGACCCAGTACTAGTAACATCTTGCATAGCTACCATTTGCATGTCTATAAAAGACTCCAGTTTCAATTGGACCTTAGTCATCTACATTTCTGACTTTTTCAAGTAATTTTATTTCATATTTCTTATTTATGTTTTTTCAATTGGCATTCAAACTGAAAATCATTAAATTTCCCTACTGTAACAATAAATTATGCTTTACCAACAACTTTCAACATTCAGATCTCTTCTTAATAATTTGTACATTCGGCTTAATTTATCAGGATTCCAGAATCCATGGCGATGAAAACGCCATCAGGTAGGTACGTACATGCGGATGACATAGGTTTGTTCCAATAATTCATCTGGAGGATATGGATTCTTAGTGATTATGAAAAATCGGAAATTTTTTGTCCGTAAGTCATTGAACTTTGTCTTTGCGTACTCGTCTCCATCTGATTTTTTCACCAATTTTAAGTATCTGTAAAGAATGAATAATACATATGAATTGGAAATGACAAAACCATTACCCAGATTAGTTAATTTGTATATGACAAGAAAAATCTCTCATAGAGAAATGTTTCCTAAGTGATGTAAATGTTTTAAAAGCTTTCATCTTTAATGATTACTCTCTTTAGTGTTTGACATTTGATTTCTCTGAAATATTAGTTTTCAAGTATCTTATATAATAATCAAACAAAGTATTAAAATCTAACAGGCCTGGAGAAACCTTTAATCATATATTAATTACCATGAGAAAATACTTACATTTCTTCCTCCAATACACTTTTGTCCATAATCTTTCCCATGAGGCCCTCAAGAATTTCATCAAACCTCATAGTAACAGTGTCGAACATGTCAACTTCCATCATATCCAACACCAGAGGTTTACCATACCTTATACATAAAATCAAGGACTTAAATAAACCTCAAGATCATATATTTCATATCGCACAAAATTACATACTTTTTCACAAATCATTTTTTCTGGACACTTCTTTTCATTGATGTATATGATACTGAAGAAATCCACTGAAACTTAAAAAAATTTATATCAACTTTTTAACATTTAATTATCTAATTTCAGGTAAATATGCATATATTCATGGATGAGGAGAGTCCATGAAATCAATGAAAATACCTGTTAAATTTTCCTCAAAATTTATTCTGACAGAAGACAAATGGATATACATTCAGGACACATTACTGTTCTTGACTTGTGTATTTCTCTTTATCCAAAGGTTGATTATCTGGTTAAGGAGCAAAACGTTCATTAATTTGAGCCTAAGTGGGGTCAGGATTGACATTATATTACTCCTTCCTATCGTGAATTTGGGGTCACTAATTACTGTAATAGTGGAGGCTGCATAGGAAAATGAACATTTTTTGATTACTTGAAAATAAATAACCAGGGTTGTGACTAGTCTGGACAAGTGGGAATTTGCCTTTACTTGAACAGCAGATCAAGTGTATTTATCTTTAGAGTGAGTCTTGTTTGCTCAATTGAGTCAGAGACCTGGTAGAGCCTGGGCATTTTTCATCACTCCTTACTATTACATAACAGAGGCATGGGAGGGTATAACATTTTACCTTATAGACCCTATGATTGCCATTCTGGCCTTGTCTGCCTCCATCTGGGCTGGACTAAGGGCATTGAGGTAGTTTGTGTCACGATAACGTAGGAAGGTTGCGACCTGGGCATTAGGATCGATGATCAATGGCCACCTGGTTTAAAAAAAGGGAAAAAATCCAGTGAATAATGAAACAGATCATAAACTTTGTTTCAAATTAAAAAGTATTGTGAACCATTAAAATATTCCTGAATGACTGAAACCATTACATGGCTTCAATATCACAAATGATTTCTCAGATCTCAAGATAAAATTATAAAATTGATCTCTACTGAGATTTGCCATCATGGACGAACAACAAATCTTAATTGTGATGCTCAAGCTTAGTTTATAAAGATACTCTTTCACTAACTATATTTCATAAATATAGCCAACACCTAAACCTTCCTACATCATAAATACCTGTATATAAAGACCACCTCTATAATCAAATACATGTACCTGTCTATAAAGACCACATCTACATAACAAATACCTGTCTAACAAGGTCCCCTCTATTTAACAACTAGCTGTATATAAAGATAACCTCTACATATCACATACCTGTATATAAAGTCCACCCCTGTATATCACAGACCTGTCTATAAAATCCACCTCTATTGAACAATTAGCTGTCTATAAAGGCCACCTCTATTCAACAATTAGCTGTCGATAATGTCCACCTCTATTTAACAAATACCCGTATATAAAGATCATCTCTATTTATCAAATAGCTGTCTATAAAGTTAACCTCTGCATATCATATACCTGTCTATAAAGGCTGCCTCAATATAACAAAAACCTTTCTGTAAAGTTAACCTCTGCATATCATATACCTGTCTATAAAGGCTGCCTCAATATAACAAAAACCTTTCTGTAAAGTTCACCTCTGCATATCATTTACCTGTCTATAAAGGCCACCTCTATATAACAAACACCTTTCTGTTAAGTTCACCTCTGAATATCATTTACCTGTCTATAAAGGCTGCCTCAATATAACAAAAACCTGTCGGTAAATGCCACCTCTATTTATCATATACCTGTCTCTTTCATTTGGTCCCAATATGATATATCTATATTGAACCTCTATATAAAGGCCATTTGTCTATTATAACAACCTTATTCCTCTGCTCCAAAGAGTGGCCTTTTTAGCAGGTTTGACTATGTATACAAGGATCATCTAATTTTTATGTCACAGTTTTGTTTGTATATGAAATCAGTGCTGAAGCTCCAAATTGCAGTTCTCAACGTTCCCATTTAAAACAATAAACTTGTGAAAAGTGATTACTTGCATCATGAGACTTCTTTTAACTCTTTATTGCATTTAAGATATTTTGAATGGAATTTTGAAATACAAGGCTGACTTAATATGTTGATTAGCTGTGAACTTACTTGCCAGAGTCTTTGATTTTATTACCCACATCCCTAAGTAAAACATCTTCCAGTTCTCGGGTCATTACTTTGACCCCTGGTAGTTCCTCTTCATCAAGAGCAGCTATATATAAAATAAACGTTATCATTATTGTATTATACTTAAATAACATCTGTCTTTCAAAAAGTGTCCAGGTTCCATTTTCTTTTGCTTCACTGACACATCAGCTCCATCTGTTCATAAATTGAAAACTAAAGATATTTTGTATTGCAATCTTTAAGACTGCAGGTGGTAGACACTGGTGGTGGACATTTAGTCCCAGAGTTTTGCTGTAACCATTTGTATAGTGGCAAGATTCAGAATATAAATACATACTTTACATAATAAACAGATATATAAAAAATCAGTTATTTATTCATTTATTTATTTGTTTATTTAAGTGCATGTGCCCAGCTAAATTTTGACAATTCTTTCCAACACTTTGGATCTAACTCTGTCCCTTTCTAGACTTCAAAATTTAAGTCCTTAACATCACTTGAGAGCCCTAGAAGCATGAAACAGCTGTATGATGCAGTTAAATTCATTGTTTTGGCTCTACTGTATCTAACTGTTAATTTGTAGGAAAAGGTGCTATCCACTTGTGTGTGCTTTGTACAATATTCTAGACGGCAACACATGGCCATTGTTGATTGAGAAAAATGGGGATGCAGGGTCACCAGCTATATATGCCACATTGGTCAATAAATACCTCAGTTGTTTTCATATCTTATAATCTATAAATATTGAAATCAATAATTTTCAGCAGTTCAGTTGCCAGATACATGTATGCATGTATGCTGGAGATGGGATAAAGATTAACTGAATAAAGTCTTTATAAATGGGCAAAATGAATTGATAATTTCAATAAGACATTTTCCCTCTAAATATCATAATACAGGTTTTATCATCAAAAAAGTGCAATCTCCAGCCATGTATATTTCAATTTTTTCTGGAATTGCCCCTCGGACCATGTTTCAGGGAGGGAGCATCCAAGTCCCCTAAAATGGTCCTTTATTTTCTCTCAAGCATGCTTTACAGTAACAGTAAATTATGATTCAAACGATGGACCTTCAATCTGAAACCAGACACAGTCTAACAATTTTGCAACACTATTCTTCTTCTTCTGTTTAATGGATAATCTTTATCACAAAGGTGTTTTCTTGTAAACAAAAAAAAACAAAAAAACAGAAAAGATGATATACAGAAATTTCCTGCCAAGGAAGGAAAAGAAAAAAAAACCCAATTACATTGTCCTGCTCTCTTCTGTTCACGGAGTTCCAGTTTGGCGTTTGCTAACTTTTCTCGAGCTTTCTCTGTATTCAGTTTCAATACCTCAACTTCATCCTCACCATCATGGATTGCCTGTGATAAGAGAGGGATCACACTTTGATAATGTCAAAATCTGTAGCATCTTTCAAGAAAATGTGACTAGACATAAATACATCATATATTAGTTCACTTTCTGTTTCTTCTACCTCAAAGAATTAAATTACATGCACTCATTCAACAGTGTTGATATATGCAGATTTTCGATCTAAAATTTCCATTATTAATGGTTTATCAAAACATCACCATTCCTAGTCAGGCTTATGGCAATTTGGATGGTTGGTTACAGGTTGTCTGTCTCCATTCTTATGACAAAATGAGACAGCATCTTATATATCCCAACATGTGATCCTGGAAACCCCTCCGAAATATGTCTTTATCCTTTTATTTCATTGTCAATTTACTTTTAAGAATTATCAAAATACATTTGTACCTTGATGAATATATTGACTGCTTGTACATATCAAGATATGCTACAAACAAAATATTTATAGATAACACTTTTACCTATCATATTTATCAGGTAATAATCCCATCCATATATATCTTAATTTTAATAGCCAACATGATTTCAAAATGTCCTGCAATAAGCCCACCCCTTGACTTCGGAAAGAAGTACTGTGTTGGCCCCTTGGGCTTATTGGAGAAGAAATACAATAAATGATGGTCAGGATTCAATTAATCAAAATCAGGAATAATTCTAAACAGATTTTTTTCATGGTTAACTTCAGATTTACAAAATTTATCCATCCATAGTGAATATCAAATTACCTGTAGGGTGACATCTGGACGATCAAATCCACTGTTCATCGCCTCATCATGTTCCGAGATCCTCTTCTCAAGCTCACAGTAAGCTTTATTTAACTAGAATAAAGGAAATTGAAAGAAATAAAAAAATGCTCAGGTATGTACAGCCAGTGTTACAAAATGTCTGGTACAGAAATGCTGCATCTTGGAAATGACTAACCCTCCATATTCATGTCCCTTACATATAAACATGCTGTAGAGAAACATTGTCTGAGAACTCAAATTTGAAAGCATTTTTAGTAATAGTTTTTAATGTAGATATGCACAATGATGAATTGTTCTCTACAAAATTCACCATTATAGAAAACAATTAAATACATTTTAATTGTTAATTCAATGCAATATCAAATTTAAACAAGTAAAAGTAACAGAACAAGATTACCTGGTAAGTACATGGTTAAAAGATAATGAATAATAAAAAAGTTAACCCAATGATATATGAGGTCACATTAAGTAATTTGCATAAAATGTTTCAATATATTTACATGTTTTTTAGCATTCACAACCAAAATTACTATAGTATGGGGTTGTCTGACATCAGTATTTCTGACACAATTATAAACATCATTTGAAAAGAACTTGTTGCTGGTAATTCACAGACTGAAGAATCTTTTGATTTGTCAACTTTTTACTTTACAGTCAGATATCTGTAATCCCTATGAATGTATACTAGTGTATAATCTGCATTCAAAGATTAATTTATGTTTAAAAGTATACAAACTTGTTTCTGTAAAACATCATATTCATGTTGAGCAGCTTCAACCTTGCTTTCAAGTCTGTAACAAAGAAATGTGTGTATTATAAACACAACACAATAATAAAGTGAAAAAACAAAAACACACAACCACATACACAAAAAAATAATAATAATAAAAAAAAAATAAATAAAACATAATACATGTACCTGGACTTTAACATAAATTCTCATCTTTTTGATAGCTTATAAACGAAAAAAGAACAAATGAAAACTGACTATTGACTTCAGTTGAAAAAATGTACAGATCAAGTGTTAAGTTCTATCTCATTATTAATTCTGGGAGCTGTTTGCTGCAGATTTTTCCATCCCAAACCTCAATCATAGTTATATTCTGTAATTTTGAGTTGCATCTTTAAACTTCCAGCATGCTATACAGAACTGGTTTTTACGATGGTGCTTGTGTCTGTCTGTGTGGACAAAAAGACAAAAACAAAATAGCACCAATGTACAATCCAATGTGAAGTGAGATACATACTTGCTCTGCTCAAATTCATTTCTCTTCCTTTGTTCTTCCATGCGTTGTTCTTTGGCTGCTTCAAGTTTAGCCAGTAGGATATCTGTTTGGGCAACATCCCAGTCCCCTATCAAGTCCTGTACAGCTTTCTGAGAGGCTATCTAAAAATAAAGGGAGATAATCTTAAGGTTGCATTCCAAAGACTTTAAACAAGGAAAATTCAGTCATGTCTCCTGTATACTACACTGGAGTAAACAAGTCACTTTCATCTTCATTTATACAAATTTGTGAATTTTCAAAATAAATGTAAATAACACTGAATCCATACATTTTATTTGTAAATCTACTTAAAGACTGTAAATGTAAAATTGATAACTGTATCAATATAATGTATGGGAAATAAACATCCATTTTTTTTTCTTTCTTTCTTTTTATCGTCATTTGCCCTTGAATTACACAATATGTGTGGTAAAAACATGCCACTCTCTAGAATGGAAACATGATTGACAATGTATATATATTTCTTCATTTTAAGAAAGCTATGACGAGTGGCAAATCGTTTTACCTGTTGTGGAGTCTGGCTATCACTGGCATAGATTCTTGGATCAGCACCATTTTGAAGTAACAACTGCCCAAAAAAACAAATTAACCAAATAAACCAAAATAAAACTGTCAATAACTTATCATTACAGAGAGAAAGTAAAAATGTTGCCAAAATTACATCTGATTTCATTGCTTTATTTGACTATAATATTAAATGAAATCATTTCAGGTACTTGATCAAGAGTAGAAACAATGTTGAACATCATGTAAATTTTCAAATTCTTGAATCGACCAAAGAGATTTAAAACATATAATTCTTAATTAAGAACTATACCTGACAAGCTTCCAGATGTCCAGCGAAAGCAGCTCGGTAAAGAGGTGTACGGCCAAACTGACCCTTTGTGTTAGGGTCAGCTCCCTTGTCAAGAAGAAATTTTATGGTCTCCACACTTCCACCATCTACAGGTAAAAGTAAAAAAATATAGGATAGCAGTTCTTTAGCAATTGTATGCTGTTTTCTCTCAGGACTGATAATTCAAGCAATTAAATTGTTAAAAGGGGGGGGGGGGGGGTGAATTACTTTTTTTTATTTGAGTAGGAATCTTCATTACAACTGTAAAAGGACAAGGAAAACCTCCAAATTAGAAAAAGCACCATATCAAATGAATTGAAACTCTTAACTTACTTGCTGCCTCAGACAGAGGTGTGTTATCATTGGGATCTTCACATTCCACAACAGCCATCTCATGTTTATTTCTTAAAGCCATCCCAATGGAGTCCTTTCCTACTTCATTTTTATCATCTAAATCTTTGACCTGACAACAAAACAAATTTTTAAGTTCAATTTTGTATCTTCTTTTTTTAAATTTGAAAATATTTTCAGTGTTTAGTCCGCTGACAGTGTCTTTATAGAGATGAAGATTAATTCTTCTATCATAAAATATAACACAAAATATGTGATATATAATAATGAAAGAATGTGATAATAATTAAAGAATGTGATATTAACAGAGATATCAACTGATATATAACATTATAAAGAATGTGATATTAACATAGATATCAACTAATATGTAACATTATTAAGAATGTGATATTAACTGATATATGATAAAATAAGGAATGTGGTAATAACTTGTGTGATGTAAGGAAAGTAACTTTGCTATTTTATACAAACCTCCTGTAATACTGCCATAATTTCATCAAGATCTCCCTCAAAGGCTGCTTCCAGCATCCTCTTCCTTCTCTTGGCCTCAGCCTGTCTTCTTCGCCTCTCTTCTTCTTCCTTCTTACGCTGACGTTCTGCTTCTTCTTGCTCCATTTGAACTAACTTCATAAATGCCTAAACAAAAGTTGATGAGATCAATAAGTACAATTCACCTGGTGTATATAGATAGATTACGTCTAATGTCGTGTGATACACAGTGTCCGGTAAAGGTATTCTGAGCAGGTAACTAACACCATTTCTCTCAGCCATGCTGCACAGTTTGATCCTACGTGTTAAAATAGATCAGGTGGTCAGGTGGCGCAGTGGTAGCATACTTGGTAAGGGGTCACCTGCCCGGCCACCTGGGTTTCACTGGGTACTTCGGTTCATCAATTGTCAGCTTGGAACAGTTGGGGGTTTTTTTTTCTTTCTTTTTTGTATAGATTTTTGCTGTTGTTGTTGTTGTTTTAACATATGCTTTTCAGGATTAGAAGGAGAGTTTTATTCATTTGCAGCAGAGAAAAAAAACCGATTCAGAGCTATTGTCCTTTCATCTCTTTTACACTTGTAAAATTAAGAAGATGAAGTGCCTTAATGTAAATATTAGATGATACACTATGGTTTTTCTAAATGAAAATGTCATAAACATGACTCACTATATTGAGATGTAGCTGTATGTCTCAAAGCTGAAATACATGAATTTCCATTTCTGTTTACTTACTATTTTTTGACAGAATTTGTTACAGTTGTTTGAATATGTACCCACTGGCATATCCCGTTGTTTACTTTATCAAAATTTATAAATTACCTCTTTTTCAAGTTTATCCATGAGTTCTTCATAGTCTGCTTTTTCCTTTTTCTTTTGTGCAAGTTTTTTTTTGGCCAAAAACTGTCTGATCTTGCACTGTATTTTCCTGGCTGCATCATCCTTTGGGGTCCAAACTTTTTCTTTAGGTTTTGCTGGCTCTGCTTTACCTTTTGCTGGAGCAGCTGCTCCTCCTTTCTTTACACCTAAAATTTGCAGATTTTCTGCTATTTATTTGTGTGTTATTGACTTAGGTATTAAAAGGATTCTGTCGAACAGTCACTAATCTAACCTGTTTAAAGAAAAAACATATTACAGGAAAAAACGTGAGGAAAAAATTCACATTCTCATGTTACTGATAAAGATTTTTTGGACTGAGACTTAATGAATAACAGAAAGTTTCTGCATGGCACTGCTAGCTTGCCTTACTGGTAAATCAAATTTGGACACAACTTGGTCATCTAGTCTTAAAGGAAGTCTTAAGAGAAGTTCTCCATAGCTGAGCAGTATATTGCGGGCAGTATTTACCAGGGTTAAATACTCTCTCTCCAGAAAATCACTTGTCTTTGAGTTTCAAAGTTTTACCTCGACATACGTGGGACAATGCTAAAAATTATTCCAGAGTCCCTAAATGCGTGCCAATGTAACAGAGGTCATTATTTATTTCAATGCCTCTGCTAGACAATGGAACATGGAATCTGTTGCTTACTAGTCTAATGCTCAAACGATCGAGCTAAAGAAAGGTTCTCTCTAGCTGAGTGGCTTGTTGTGATTAATAGCTTGAATGTCCCCTTCGAAGCAAACCCTAAAGATTACACACGCAAAGAAAAAAAAAGTGAAAATTTTCACACATACTATCAGACATGAAGTTGTGACTCGTAAGTGGAATTCCTAGTAATGCTTTGCGCCAATGGCAGATAGCAACATAGCCGACATGAAACAAATAGTCTGATTCACCAAGATGTTCATCATGTGTACAGACAACTAGAGACTGCAGACTGAACATGACTATATGATTAGTAACTTTAAAGAGATTGTCCATAAGGATAAACAAGGAATAACAAAACACCATGAACTAGTTAGGAACACAATAAATACAATACTCAAGGAAGAAAGAGTTCCTTACACTTAAGGTTAAATGATTATTGTCAGCAAATGTTTTGTCATGTTTGTTTGCTACAATAAAAATAAGTAAGTTATATACTACTATCACTCTAAATGGCTTTGCCATAATTCATATCATTTTACCAGGAAAAGAATGTTACATGTAGACAGGAAAATTTTTGGATTGATGCAAGTTGATATTATGCAATTTTACTACAATTAACATACAATACGGTATAGGTGCCAGGTAAGTTATCGCTAACCATATGAGCGAGAATTTAACTTATAAGCATATGTGAGGGGGGAGGGGGGTGTCCAAACAGTAAATTGTACTGTATAGTATATAATGTGCGTCGTGGTTAGATTCAAACAAATGTCGCTATTATCGCAGTGATATAGTGGATTTGTAATATTGAAGTCTATATAAATAAAACACATGTGAAGAACTCTGACAACAGATTTTAAACACCGGCTGACTGCAGCTGGATTAGTAGGGCTATCGACTGTTTATACAATATACCTGCAGCCGGAGCACCTCGCTTTGCGGGAGCCCCCCTCCCTGCTGGTTTCGCTGGTGCAGGCTTTGCTGCAGGTCGCGCAGGTGCTTTCGCAGGAACTGGCTTTTTAGGAGGCATTTTCAGTCAAATCTGTTTCTTCTTGGTGATGTCAGATGCAAAGTCAAGCAAAATAACAAGTTGCAAGGGTGTTTTCATACACCATCCTCCATTTGTCAACAACACAGGACCGCACTTAGCAATAAAAAAAGACTTAATCTGATTGGTTGATAGCATATATCGCCTTCCGTTATGAAGTTTTCGAGTTCGATGCTCAGTCTCGCTAGCCCACAAACATACTATTTTTATTATTTCAATATATCAACGTACATTATTAACAAACCAAATATTCGGTAAAACTTTGTAATTTTATACGCGATACCCCTTCCTTTATTTATTTAGACATTCTAATAACGGAGACGGAATATGATGAAACCCTCCGCATGTTCTGATTTATTTTCACAATTAAGGTATCTGACATACCTTGATGATGCCTTGTCTTTTAATTTAAAGAGATTTGTTGGTTATGTTCATCGTATGTACCACCAAAATCGGAAATCAAGGACACGACAGACTCTTTTACATCTGCCGCGTACATGTACCTTGCAATGAAACTGACAGGGACACAAAGCTGTACGGAAAGCGTGATGATTTCAGTTTTCTCCTTTTTTATTTTTTGTTTCTGGATAGCAACCTTCCTACATCCTCATCATATCATGTTTATATGTTGAAGTTGATTCGACATTCAAAGGCGTGTTCCCAATATTACGAATTTCATACAACAATTATTGTTCTAGCTGCTCAGGATATAAAATATCTCAATTTCAGATTTCCTCAAGCCCAGATTTTCCTCAGCTAATATCTCCTTGAAAATATCTTGTATGAAAATTCCTCAAGGAATTTCAGGACATCCTAGCCGATGACTTCCTCCTGTTCCATGAGAAAATTTTATACAAGCCGTTTTTGAGGAGATATCAGCTGAGGAAAATCTCGACTTGAGGAAATTTCAAGTTGAGATGTTTTATACAAGTGGGGCTAGGTCCTTCTGTAGAACGAACCGCAGAGGATTTTGGACCTGTACTAGGAATGCTTTACAACTTCGGGTTTCTTCATCCATGAACATTATACAGCATGATCCGTAATTTTAGACACATTTCTTTCTTCATTGCTAAAACAATTCAAAATAAACACATCAACCTGTTTCATATTCATCATGAAACTCGTATTTTGCCTTTCTGTTCCTTGTGTTTTCACTGTATCTCCTGTCATGATAGCCCTAGGACCCTAATTGTCTTTGAATCAAGCATTAAACTCTGGCTCATTTTCACCTGATCGTCGACTCTTTTCCTGATTTGCTAATGAAAACAGGATTTTTAAAGTCAGCTGGTGGTTATTGCTATATGTAGATCTGTCGACAATCACTTAAATTTACTTCTTGTCTTTATCCTAGCCTCCTAGTACTTATCTTGTTCTTACAATGAAGAATAGTACACAATTACTTGGGTTGACTGATACTTTAGGCAGACTTTCTAATTGTCGACAAGGAAGCTGGAAACGTTTATCCTTTCGGAGCACCTAGTCTTATTTTCCTTCTAGTATTCCGGGTGTATTGGTGTAAGTCTTTATTTTTTCATTTTTTTAACAGATTCTCTTTCTGCTATGATAGGCACTGTTAGGAGCACAATCTTTCTGTTATGATAAGCACTGTTAGGGTTACAACCTTATGCTTTGATAAGCACTGTTAGGGTTACAACCTTTTAATGCGATACAAAAGTTGCTTAAAAAGCAATGTGGATTTTGGAAATTACGAACATCTTTTGATCCATTAATCAAGCAAGAAAAAATGTCTTCATATATTTAATCTTCCACTGGCCACAAACGCTCTCTTAATAACACCTTGTTATATTCATATAAATCCTACTGGAGGTTCAGATTTATTTGTTGTGAGCTGCGGTACGCTGGAACGTATTTCGTAATAAACTCAGTACAGAGGGATTCGAGATATGCAGGAGGTTAACAGAGATAATGGTGAATTCTTATGATCTTCAAAAGGATCTTATTCGGAAATATTCTATATCCTTGTGCAATATGAATTTTGGCGTTTTTGATGCTCGTTAGTATGCTTTGTGGTTCCATTGTTGTTGACATTGTTCTCATTATGGAACGTGACATTACTTACCTTGATTGACCGATGTTTACAAGGCGGATATTGTCGATACCCTCCAGGGACATGTTGTCGTATTCCTTTTGTCCCTTTACAGAGAGATCCCCGTGGACACGTTTCTTTTGTTCTTTATTCAAGATTCGGTTTGCCTGTATTGTCTTTGTTTACATTCAATCATGACTAAGGTCAGATTGAAATGATTTTTAAGTGCTATTTGAGCTTGTTGTCAAGATCTCGTTCGCTGGCATGTCCATACAACAAAATGTTCCCCGAATTCCATGTGTTTTCTTTTCAGAACTGGAAACAAAGCTTTGCTGTGTCCTTAAATTTCAGTTTTAGCTATACACACATATATCAATATGACGTTTTTCCTTAAAACTACAAGAAAACTATTAAATAGCCGTATATGTGTGATAAGTCAGGCCTTTATGATTGTTCTGTTCCCAGATAGTAATTTTCTAACTTCATTGTCTTATTGGGTTGAATGTTGTAGATGGTTTGACATTCAAGGGCTTGTTGACATTTACAATGTCCTTGCTAGGCGTCGAAAAAATGGCGAAACACGGAATTTTCTTTCATTCTTTCAAACGCGCAATATGGGTATCAATGTTTGTGATGTTAGTGTGTATGCTTAGCAGTGTTGTAACCACTCATATCCTATTTTGAAGAAATAGAAATTACTTGAAAGTTTCAATTCATTACATTCTTACCAAATACAGTTTCACATGCACGAAGAATGATTTTGATGTATCAAGTTGTGCAAACCCATGAGTTGTATTTGAGAAAAAAAATAAACAAAAAAAAAAAAAAAAAGGAAAAAGAAAGGTGTGAAACAAGAAAGTATCCCTGAAGCATTCTTACGTGTAATTACGTCATCACGTCCAGCGGTATGTGGCAGTTCATTAGCAGTCTATTGATATTGATGTTTCATTGTAACAGTAATGTCTGCATGGCGATTGGATGCGTATATAGATCATAGCAGTAGTCATAGCTTTATTCAATATAAACATATTTTATAAAACCACTACCATATTTCAGCCAATCACATGATATAACTAAGATGCCTATATCTGGGCAATGGAATATTCAGTGGATCCTTCGTTGCAACCTCTTTGTGTTACCAATGTATATCGTGTTATCTAACACGTTTTTACAAACTGATTCTTGTATACTAAATCTTTATGTAGCCAATATCATTGATGACACAGCAGACGTTCGTAATTCTCACTAAAAGAGTCGGATTTTGTTTATAGATCTCTTCGGAAAAAAACGAGTTACAATTTATTGATATTCACTTCCTTTCGGTTTTGTTGCTTACTGTCTCTTAATTTCTTTAAAAAATTGTTTCATTTTTTTATATTTTTTTTATTAATGGGGAAGGGGGGTTTCCCTGCAGATTCAATATGGAAAATGATCCAGAAAGTCGGACTGACATGAACATGAGGACAGACAGTTATTAAGATTATAGCTGAGAAAGCACAGAGAACATATTGTTGCTTAAGGTGCACATTAAACACCACTGCTGACCCGCCAATCAGACGACGTCGCAGAATAAGGGTTGAAACGGCCGGCGATGGTTGGAATCCACCTGACGACGCTGTTAACAGTAATCTCCATTTCGCCAGTGTTAAACTAAAGTAGCGGTAGCAGAGAAATAAGTAAGTCATTTACATTTCAAAAGTAGTTTGGAAATATTGACGTTGTAGCATATTTTGGCATTTACGGTTGACAGTAAGATGACGTCATTTTAAACAGACCACTTTACGTGATAATCTACCGTTTCATACTGTTATCTGGTAGGAATCTCCAACAAAACTGTTTAACACATTAAAATTTTAACATTAGTGAAAACTCGAATTGTACATGAAAAAGATTTGATGGAAAACCATATTCAAACTTATTCATTCTCCGCTTCAATTTCGTGCGAAAAGGAGAACAGGAGAAATTTTCTGCAGGGACTAAAAGCACCGCTCTGATTAGTCAAAACTACGAAAGCTATATCACCAATAAAAAGTTTCATCATTACTAATGATAAGAAATTCTTTTTTATTTTATTGATAAATTCCATTGTCTCACCGACAAAAATATAATCTTCTTCTCGTGAAAAATGCAGATAAAGCATCAAGGTATTGTATAATACTAGTATTTTTTATGATGTTTAACAGGAAATCATGAAGTATCCTCAGTATACGACTTATCATATATATTCAACAAATACCTCTCCTCGAGGTATAGAAAAAATCTTCAGTCAATCTATAGCTACTGACAGACTCCGTAATATAAACAGATATCTGCCAATTCCATCAATTGTGAGCCACCTACACACACCTGCAGCATCATCAACATCATCCTTCGCATCATATAGGTCGAGTGTCTCATCAGGTTAAATAGTCTATATGACAGGATACTTTAGCATTTAATGTTTTCATATTAGAAAATAAACGTCCAAATACTTGGCAGGTTGAAGTTACTTGAAGAGACGTACAATAACGCTGGTTGATTTATCTGATACAGAATTCGTTTATCCCACTGGGTCATCTAATAGTGGTTCCACAGTTTCGTGAGTGTACATCTCCATTTCATTTTGTCTCGTTATTTCCTCGGTGTCTTATTTGTATTGCTATAATTCTATCGTGCTTGTTGTGTTACATAAAAGATGTATTTCTTTAACAATTTGGAATATATTTTACAATATTGTTATTTAGGTTTTGCTGTTTTGTGAACTAAGAACAAAAACATAGGTATTGATATAACACCAAAGTCCTACCTGAAATCAAAGCGTTCGATAGATACAAGATCGTGAACCCTTCAGTGGCAAACTTTCAAGTTTGAGGATGACCTGGAAATCTTTGCCATTGGAGGCGGAAGTCACTGCTGGTGAACTTTCCGTCCCCGAGATTTGTCGTATCCTGCATACTACGTTTGATTTCATTCAAATGTTGGCATGGTTCAGAGTATACATCTGCACTTAAATTGTCAGGTTTATGAAAATTACTACAGTTATTGAAATTCTGTCTCGATCACTTTGGAATTTCCTCTGTCGCTTCAATGCTCGCAAAACTCAGACCTTAACATCACTGACGAGTCCTTGAAGGACGGAACAGCTGTGTGATACAGATTTATTAATTACTTATTAAATTAATTAATTCACTGTTGTATCTAATGTTTAAGTGTATTACAATGTGATACTCACTGGTGTGTCTTTTGGACACTAAAGGTAACAAAAAAGCAACAACAAAAACGTGCATTCTTATTTGAATTTTTAATTCTGTAAATGTTATATTCTACCAACTATTAAAAATGTTCTGTTACATAAATCTTGTACAACTTTCCTTTCTACAAGACCAAATTTTTGTGCGTTACCGTTTTGGTTTTTACGCGATTACGAAAATTAAAATTTTTGTAGTGAAAAATCCTCTATTTTCATAGAGCTGTTTTTTTTGTTGATTTCGTAGGCATTCTTGATCCACGAATACAAGTGCCCATGAAAAAGAAATTCTATGAAAACCACGAAATTTGAGCCCCACGTAAGCTTATGGTTTTACAGTACATGTTTGGGTATATTCAAAGAAACAACATCAGACAATATGTGTGGTTTAAAATTTGATTGACATAATATTATCTAAAAGAATCGCTAATTGTTTTATTCAGTAATATATACAGAAACACTGGAATTTCAATAATTTATTCTCATATGTGAAAATTCAACTGCTTTTTAACAGGAGAGATATTCTATAAATCTAGAGTAAAGCAGGCTCAATTTTTAACTTATCCTTTTGGAAATCTTGAATAATGAAATGTCCGATGAATTATTTTTAAATGAAAGGTCTTTATCTTCACCTGTAGTGCTAAAGATAGTTCTGACATCAATATACATCCCTTAACATGTTTCACTATCCTTATAGGTAAACGATGTCAAATAGAAATGGGATCTAAAAAAATCATGCGTGCCCAATAAGATGGATGGCTACTCGTACAATACACCATTATAATCCTCCTTTCTGAAACGAACGATATTTTGTTATCGTCATTGATCGATATATTGCACTACAATGCAGTTGTATAAATGAACTACGAAAACAATATTTAGTTCACCGAGTCTGAATATAATCTCAAACTAGAAAAATCCTACTAAGTGCCTTGTAATGTTGGCGTTGGTCACCAACTGATCACTAGTCAGAATTCAGGAGCAATCAAACTGGAAATCGCAAATATTTTTTAAGTCTTCGTTTATGCTAATTTAGGCATTACGATATTAAGTGCAATGGCGTTTGTCTTGGAAGCAATCTTACAAAGATTCCAATTCATTTAAACTAAAATGGTTTATGAAATACCGACAATATGGTTCTATTGACTGAATATCCAATCAATGGTTGACTGCCCTCATCCGTATGACTGCAATACTGAGGTATTAACGCGACTGATATCATTAAACTCCATTAAAAATCATAAATACACAAATATGTATTTTGAAACTTCTAAAATAACCGAACAGATGAAATAATTGCTTTCATGTTAGACTTATATAGTGATAAAACTGGGTTTTTTTTATTGTTTTATCAGGGTAAAAAGTAATCTGTACATACATGTATAATCGTACGCTGGTGGACATCGTTTCCTAAAAACAATGTACATAAATATATTTATCATAATTAAAATGTCATCAAAGTGTAGTCAGGACACAACTATAGCATATAGCTCTTTTGCCTTCAAATAAAATATCTTATACCTTGCCTTCAAATAAAATATTTCATACCAACACCGCTTGTCTTTATAGAAATACAACTGTACATACTGCAAAATAAATACAATATTTTTGTTTGCAATTGAATAGGAACATAAAAATCAAAGTGATTGGCATTAATACCTTCGAAATCAATTACATGAACCACACATTATAATCCTACTAGTTTCCTATACGGACATTTATTCATTTATCACTTTTGAACCAAGCTCAATTGTTTCAAATCCATATTTCAAAAAAAATGTCTGAAATTTCTGTAAACAATTTAAAAAATGATCGCTGTCTTTTTTCTGTTTAATCAAGTCATTCGCACGTTTGACAGGATCATATGTTTACGTCGTTAAATGTATGAAGTTGAATTCCTTTGAATCCATGTGATTAATCGCTATATTGTGTGGAATTATAAACATTTGTCGATGTTCCACAGTGCTCACGTCGGCAGTTTCTATACCGCCTGGTGCTACATTGAGCTCAATCATATATGCTAAACGCTATTCAAATATCACATTTATAGACAAGCAATGTGACTAAAATACATCTTGTACACAAATATATAAATCCATCTCTCTGGGTACACTGCATCTTAAATCACATATGTAGGTATGGAATAATATGGCAGTGACGTCACAGTCACAAAAAAACACAACCAGAATATTACCCGCCTTTGCACTCCATCTTAGACACAGATTATTTTCCTTAAACCGCCCTTGTATGACGTAGTTAGTTGAAACAAAACATTTTCCCTACGACTTCTTCACAAAAAAATAAAATAAGCAATGACGCCACTGTTAAATGATGCAGTAAGTTGAAAAGAACATTAAACTCCTTAGCAGAATTCTACCGCAAGTAAACATCATCAGTTCCGGAAGTTCAACTGAGAATTAATTCTTCATTATTATAAATATCACTTTTTAAGTACAAAACACATTCAAAAGAAATTCGGTTTCTTGTTTTAACACTGTTGATTGCTCATGGCCAACTTCAACAGAGATGGCGTGTCAAATGGGTGGTTCCCAAATAGTGTTTGTTCTTTAAACTTCTCTATTGAAGACAGCAACACCTAGTCATTCTCGATCTCACAATCACTAACAGAAGAACCTTGATCCATTACTGGGTCTGTATTCACAGTACGTTCACTTGAACCTGTATAATATATAATAATAGGTTCTTTAGGGAACGATCCACCATACACTTTTGTATAGCACTAACGAGACACATAAGATGTATGCCCTCATTTTTATCCATTAGAAAGAATATGAATATCATTATACACTCGGTCGCGGCCACAAAACACTTCCCATGCCTTTTTTTGTAATCTTTGTTTTCGTTTTCTTTGTAATCTCTTTCTATTTCGATGTTTGTTCTTTCTTCCGCGTCTTCGTTTCTTTCCCCTTTTTCTTTTTCTGTACTTTCGTTTCTTTTTTCGTCTCCGTCGTCTCTTTCGTTTTCCAAATGGCTTTTTCCTTTTCTCAAGCGTAAGATCTGAGTTATTGAGTAACAGATCTGGAAGTATACATTAGATGCCTCATCAGGCTATAGTTTGATTAACCTCCCCAAGATTGGGTCATTGTTAGCCAGGATTGAATATACATTAGAATTATATATAAAAAAGGATGATAATGAACACGTCAGTGAGGCACATCCGGACCATGCTCCACTCTTGTATTTCCACTTCCGGTTTATACTCATACTTGTATTAAAGATCGACCGGATGTTAATTAACAGAAATCACATGCATTATAAAAATATATCGGGATTCATGCAAAATTCTTATAAAACCAAAAGTAACATGGAAACGGTTTCAAAGTTCTAGTCATAACAAATTTAATACAGTATGATATACAATAGGATTATGGTATCCATGATTCCAAAATATAATTGGCACTATGCATTTTACAATTTTGTAACTTATTGTGAAAAATATCATTCGCCTTAAAGTTGCTTGACGAAAACGCTTTGAAACCACTCCGAGGCAAGTTATGTAAACATCAAGTGAAAATTACGTTGTGGACGAAAATGTGCTGCTGACTAGTTCAGAGGATTTCTGTCAACAAGTATATACAAAGAAAACATTGTGATAGGAACCGCTTAATTCGGAGAAGTGTAAGGTCAACATGGCCGTGTGTGGTCTGTAACGGTCAAACCGAGTAATTACACACACGAGGTTACCAAGTGATTTATCTTACCGTAGATAACACGCGTTTATATATACGAAATAATGTATTTGTTCCGTTATAATTTAGAGAATTCACACTTTCTACACGGTTATTTTCAAATATTTTGAAATTGCGTTATGTTCTAAAACTTTGAAATAATACATTTCAATTTGAGAACATACACATAAATTCTAACGGATATGTAAAACACAAATTACATCTTTTTTGCTTATTTTAGATTGAACTTTTTGAAAAGCAAAATACCTTAAAGTACCAAGATTTTATTTCCATGTTTACATAAAAGAACATTTATTCAGTGAAAGTTTTTGACTTGGAAATTCATCAAATCTGAGTCCTTTACAAGTATAAGGTGCGTTTTCCAATTCTTCACAGTAAATAGCTGTATAAACATTTTGAAGCCTATTAAAAAGTGCATGTTGTCTGGTACGTATTTGCTAAAAAATGAAATAGAAATGAAAAGAAAACCGCTTGAACCAAAGACGTGATTAGTTACACTGAATAATGAACCCATTAAACCAACTTGTTTACAAAAGTTTCATTCGTACTTATTACAAAACTATTCAACAAAGGCTACGTAAACACAAATGCTGACCACGTGACCAGTCAGTACTTCGCAATGCAGTGGATGTCGTTCTTGTTATTTTCATATCTATTTTCCGTGGTGATATTTACAGTGATAAATAATGTTGTCAACTACATTTGGGAATTGACCCAAAATTTCCCGCACTCCAAAATATCCCCCATAAACCATTCCCGACTTCAAACTGAACGTGTGTGTTAGATATCGTGAATACTGAAAAGATTTTCAAGCGAAGTAATATCGCGATAAAAAAATTACCATTAATTGAAAAAAAAATCATGACGTCTGTGAAAACATAACCTATATAACTTCAAGTATTTGGTAAAAACCAGCAAAAATTTCATCGTCAATCCAAACAACTTTTACAATTTGCAATTTTAGATATGGTCAGTAAATGTAAACGTTACTGTTAATAGCAGTGAACTGTAACATATATACAATGTACGTATTATATACAAGTTAATGGATGAAAACATTTTATCAAATGTTTCATAACCTTTAAAGGCAACCAATCTCGTGATTCTCTTTACCCTGCGTGTGGAGTAGGTGACAAGATATTAAATCTAATCATTTTTCTTCATTTTCATCCGGCTTCCTTTTACATCATATAATTACAGTAATGAAGATCAACAACGCTTCTTAATAATAAATACATTGTAATACTGTTTTAGAAATGCGTATATGATATTGTGTTTATTTATTATATATTTAGACCGTTTCGTGCAATGACTATAATGTCTTATTGTGATTTTAGTGTTATTTTAATTATAATGTTCTGTACAAACGATCTAAATAGCATTCATCATTTTACATGTCGACCTTATTGGAAACGATTGCCTCTCAGTGATACTCTACTAGAGCGAATCGTCTGGAGACAACACTATAATTGGAAAGCAATATATGTCCGCTCAATCAAATGCAGTTATATACAGTTAAAGTAATCCCTCCCTCGTCTCAATGTGTGCACAGTGCAGCCACAATAAAAGGAAGCAAACCTTAATCAATCGATTATCTCATCAACTCCTGGTGTAGTTTCTATATCTGTTCCTCACCATCTTTTAATGTCATTTCCAAGAACTGTTCTTATAATCTTTTGTAAAGTTTTATACATATCTTAATCAATCCCTCGTGCCATGTGTTTATTGAAATAGAGGCTAATTTCTGGAGATTTTCATTATAAAAAATCCGTTCCTCAGACCCGAGGAACATCGACGTCTGAAAAGCCGGAGAAGACTGCAGTATTGTAGTGTAAATTGTCGATGAGTTATTGGATTGGAGAAAACTTCCATTTTATATTGCAACGGAAAACATGCTTTATCATAAATTCTTTAATAAATGTTCATATACACGAATTTGTATTTACTCAAGTTGTTTATGAGTACCAAGAAAACAACACATTCCGCTAACCTTTCACAACAGGTTAATTTCTTTCCATTTATAGGTAGTCATATGCATGCTTTAATTCGGTTACGTTGCTGCGTCGACGAACTGATTCGATATACCACCACGTGGCGGGATTCTACATACATCATATTTGACAAGGTTAACTCATGCATTCAAAACTATACATATAAAAGTTTAGTATTAACTGCATGCAAAGCATAGTAAAAAGCATAAAAGTGATTGGGTGTATACCTGCTTAATTATGTACGTCTTAAAAAATTAATGACAAAATTTTGTATTTTATATCAGTAATAGAAATATTCGGTCAATACTTTCGGTTCATTATTGAATTTTAACGATTAAGCTTAATAGGAAGGGCTTCTATATAAATAAAATATAAATATATAAGTAAATTTTGATTACGTTAGTAATCACTTGCTGCCGAATCGTTTGGTATTTTTTATGTGTCTTTAATCTCCAATGGCAAAATTTAAAAATATTTTTGATTGAATACGTTGTCCTGTATTTCGTTCCCATTATGCTACCTTACTAATCATTTCATTCCGTGTTGTGTTTTCGTGTTGTCTCCCTTGTCATGTTCAAGTTATTGAATATATTCAATAATTATATTTTAAAAAATCACCTTGTAATCCATAGAACACGTGTAAGAGGCATTCGTGTACATCACTACGATTGCATAAATTCGTTAACTTAAATAACCATATGAGATTTTATTCCCCACGCACGGAATGCCACATATAGGTTGAAAGTTGACGTAAATTCAGTAACATTTGACCCTGAAACTACGGCTGATTCTATTGTTTTATATTCGCATCTCAGAAATAGAAAAGTCTCTCGACTTACAATTGTTCGCTCATATAGTTGTATACATTTGGTTTAACATACTATTCATTTGACAAGAATCTATACAGTTTAATTTAGACGGACAGGGAGAAGTTTCAAACTTATAACAGATGGAATGTTTTGGCGGAGATTAACTTAATTCCCCAATCGTTCGGCAGCGCATGCATATATATAGCAAGATAATGACAATGCACGGAACCAAATAAGAACCTATTTTGCTGAAATCCAGATGCATAATTATTTTTTTAGAGACAGTAGCTTTAAAAAACCCGATCCCAATTGCTTGAAACCTCTCCTCACCTGCGCAATGTCGCATCGTCATGCGACAGCAAGTATTCTCTGCCAGAGCCGGACAACTTATTCCGTTTGGAGACGGATGCTCCAGAATCTGTCGTGTCCGTGTGGCTATTCCGTATGTGTATCCACACGTTTGACCATTCCGCGTGCACGGTCCCCACGGGTCCCATGGTCCCACCATACAGTCGACTGTAAGCATGCCCAAACAAAGGCAAAATTATCGCATCATAAGAAATCTTTCAACCCTTACTCTTCTACAATTGTAAAACAAGTTGTCGCAACAGAAAATGAAATTATTGAATTATGGCAACGCACATAGCATAGATCTAGAAACTGAAGTACCCATTAGTCGAGGAAGTGACTTTCTTCTTTTTTTTCTCTACAATTCTAAATTACCATGAAACCGAGACTAATCTATGAGTAGCGAAAAAAGGTGGAAATGTAGCAAGACAGTTTGGGTGTTAATAGACCAAAAAACACCTAATGCGATGGATTCGCTGCCAATACTGATGGTTTTCTTTCAACTGTTAATATGTTGATGGCAAACCGATATACTTTACCTATCATGCGACAGTCTTTGGAATAATTTGCATAATGTAGTCCGTCTGGACATCGTTCGATACAGCGCCCCCTGTAGGATATATATGGAGGCCGACATTGGGTACAGTAGTTCTGGTTGAAGCACGTCTCACAATTCGGAATCTGACAATCTGTTAGAGAAGATCAAACACTATCAATACCAAAACATTAAAATGTTATATAGGAACGCATATCTGCAGGGTCTGAAATTCATGGACACCGGCATATTAACATATTAAGTCAGTGTTTCTTGTTAACAAATGAACATGACTGATCTCCCGATCTTGTTATTTTTTTTCGTGTGCATCAGAAAAACACGTCTCCGTAACATCATTTTTCAAAGGAAAAAACATGTGAAAATATACTCTTAAGGACATATGGGACAAAACCAAAGAAAATATTTCCTCTTTTTTTCTCATAAGATCTTTCAATTATAGTTTTTGCTTCCTGTCTGAGTTTATGAAACTAGTCTTAAACGTTTTTTGTTTCCTGTCTAAGTTTATGAAACTAGTCTTTAAAAAATCATTTTGTGAACACTCAACTCCAAGTCCAAGCGTGTGGCAGCGTCGTCAAGACATCCATTTGTAATAAAAGCGTTGTATGAGTGAAAGAGTATATGGATTGCAAGATAGTGAAGTGAGTCGCCTCATGCAATCATATAATAAGGGCAGCAAGCACCATTCTTACGCCCTATCTGCAGCGTAGTGATGTAAGGACGGCCAAGAGCTGTTCGTTAAAACTGGAGGAAGCAACTTCCCTTTATTTATTTATTCATTTATCTATTTATGTTTGTATTTAAGTATTATGTGTTTAACAGATCTCACTAACATATTTGCATATCCCCACGTAAGTACGTTTCTCAACGTCATCAGTCTTGGAAGAGGTATATTTGCAAAAAGAAAAAAAAATGATTTAGAAAACATTAATTCATATTTCTCTTGTTTTAGGTCCTAATTTAAGAATGACGATGACGTTGTTAGCCGATTAGATTAGAAGGTCTTACTAGATGCTGGTTTTTCTTTCATCTATCTCAGCGTGAAACTTTATAAAACGAACTAATCTCAGCTTCCACCTACATGTATTCCCTCACAACTATAAGTCTTATCTCTCCTATAGCAATCTAATTTTATTGTCAGTCTCTGCTTTAAATTAAAATGACAATTAAGAGAAAAATAATATAGCTTTTCACAAAACACTTTTTTTTCACTTATCTGTTTTCTATTTTTTTTTTTAATTATTTTAATTATTTTAAAAAGTAACAGTCATAAATTAGAAGTAGACGCCATCTTTAACATTCGTGTTCCTTTGTTGGGAATTTTCTTCACCGATTCAATGAATTATAATATCCCAATGATTTTCACACACAAAATGCATTAATACATTCATGCATATAAAACTGCACTTCGTTTTTAACCCTACACTGACTAAACAAAATCACAAAAAAAATATTTAAAAGTAAAATGGTGTCTATTATGGGATTTTGTATGACGAATTCAGACAGATTCTTTGATATTTATTAATTACTTCTGCCGTGAACGGTACACTAAGGTCGTTGTGGGTGGCAGGTTCATACTCAAAGCCGAAGAAGTCATAGTTCAGATTGTCATACATGGGGAATATATTGTGTTCGAGTCGTCCTTTGTGAGCAAGGAGGAGCTGGGGCAGGGATGTATTCATCCGCGCGGCGCGTTCGAGTTTTTTCTTCTATTGTGAACTTCATGATGAAGACACTTTTGAAGTGATAGGCAAATATCAGTGATAAATGGAAAAGCTTCTCTATTTTGTCCGGTATTCTCGGTCACACAAGTGCACAGTTACGATAGATCAGACCATTTTACAGAATGATGATACTCTTAGATCAGGGCCCGTGGCCGACATTTCTCAGAGACATTATATCACCTGTGAGTAATACACTATTTAATATGTTGTCGTCATTGATAAAACTCAAATATTTACAATATATGGAGGATTCAATGTTCAATTTAAATAGCCATCTTAGAGCATCCTGCAAGGAGAGATTCCTAGACTTTGATTGTTGTTTGATAATGCAATAAGGATTTTAGCTGTTTAATATTTATTTTTTCTTCTTATCCAAAAACAGAAAGGATACAATATTTACTAAATTTTGTGAGTTTCATCATTAAGTTACAATGAGCCTTTGTGAAATACTCTACTGCTTGCTTGTATTACACTGCAAAAATGGAGACTTAAGTGATATCTTTTGAAAATTATCCGAAAAGTAAAACCAGGTTTCGCAAGCTGCGATATACTCACTTCTGGAGCCAACTTGAATCCTTCATTCAAGCACACAGATACTACACTAATCTTAGTTTACATACTAGAAAACAGCTTAGATAGAGACATTTTAAAGTTTCAGTAATTTAACGTCATCGACTAAAACGAGATATTGAAAACGTTCATAAACGACCTACAGTATTGTTATAGACGTAATATATGAGTAAAGGTGGGATAAGGTAGCAGAAAAATAGATTAATAATATTTTCTATAGAAACTGAATTTCAATTCTGATACATTTAAAATGCAGTTAGAAGAGTAATGTACAATGTTTGTAGGCGTTTTCTTTTAATTCTATTAATAAGGACTTTATATGTTTAGTCGAAAATTCTTTTTAAAATTACGATGTGAGTGAGTCAGTATTAGTGAACATTGAGAGAGTAGAGTAAAAAGATGGCGTGTGTTTTAAGATAGCCGTTAACATAAACAAATGATATGATAGTGTTATGTCTTCGGTAATCGGGAAGCGTTTTACATATGGCCTGTGAATTGGTTTTCTGTTGATATTTTGTCAGAGATTATTGGACAATTCTGAATCACTCGCACTCTCAACGTAACATAGAGATTAAATCATTATACGAGCGCCTCTTTATTCCTTCGCATTTAAGATATCGCTGACGATAACAAGACTATCTTGTTAAATCGAATATCTGGTGCTAAATCAGTGTGGGAATTTCAAATGAAGTGTATTCATCCTCGTAAAGTGACTTCACTCCGTAATGAGTATATCACGACTAGACAGTTTACAGGCGTTAGTATAAAATTGAAACCGGAAGGCACACGATTGCTATCATATTCCGGAAAATATACGACGGTCGTAAAAATATAGTCAATTTCACCTCTATTACTACGAACAAAATATAATTGACTTATTGTTGATAAAATCCGAAACGATCACTTGTTGATAGCTATGGAATAGTATGACAGTTTATGAATGATACGCTATTATATGTAATTAATCCATCAGGCTTTTGCTTGATAAAAAAACAAAAAAATACAAAAAACAAAAACAAAACAAAAAACAGCAAAAAACCAAATAAACAGCAAAACAAACCCATATATATATATATATGTATTTTTTTTCGTTTATATATATATAGATATATATAATATTTTTCATTTTTCCCTTTTAAAATCAATTACACATCGTTGTCTTAGTATTAATGAAAAATGAAAAATTACCGATTGGAAAGATATACAGCTAGGTTCGTTCTAAGACATCGACGTAAAATCAAATGTGTACGTAAGGGAACGTTTATAATTTGTAATCACCAAATGTATTTCCTTATGTTAAAGTTTAATTTACCATAGTGACCACATCAAGAATAAAAACTTTCTGTCGATTTTTTTTTCTAAATACTATAGCGGTTTGATCTTTAACTTCCAGTTTCCGATAAAATTCTCTTATTTTGTATACCATAATTCCATGTTCTAGCAATTTTGAATAAGGGTGTTTGCGCTTTGTTTTAGACTAAACTGTTTATAGATACCAGTCGGCTAAATCACTCAAGGCTGGACGCTACACGTGTCCGCGTGTTTATTTCCGACACGCGCCATTACTTGCGACACGTGTCATTAATCGTGATCAAAGGGCAATAACTACTCATGACGAGGCATCTCTCCCATCGCCCGATTAAAGAAAGAAAAGAAAGAAAGAAGAATCATCAAGATTTTCAAAGACATATTTTGAATTAATTCTATCATACAGTATTTTGTTTTCCATTTCAGAGGAAATAAAAAAAAGCCCCAAAGAATTCCATAGTTCTCTCTGAGTTAGCTCCATCGATTGGTTATTAATAGATAATGTGTTAGTACGTTGTACTTATCAACATACACGATGTATTATTTTCTAATATGTTAAGAGAGCTAAAATCTAATTCGTTTGTATTCACATTGTTGTGCATTGTACGTGTGATCTGTAGATTTGTGGATTTCGGAAGGAAATACACAGAAAACTGATGTATTTTTTAGCAGTCACAAGTAGATAATGTAAAAATACGAGTGTATTGATTTTAGTAAAGAGACATAAGTAATATGTCGACATTTAGGTTTGGAAAATTTATCCTTGGACAGCACTTTGAGTTTGAATTAACCTAGGAAAATGGATTTATTGTGCAATTTTCTATTTACATTTATGGTTTAGCCTGACGTTTGACTTCCAGCGCAGATTAAGACAATTACATCGACATAACATTCATATTTCTCTTGTCTGTTTTTTATGTTAAAATTCTGCCGCGTCTATTTTAAATATTTTTTTTGTGACTTTCTCCCCGTAGAAGAGAGTATTGACACAACAGAGCACAGGATCATATCACAATCTCCCCCATCCCATGATCAGTGGGTGTTTATTATGATATTTACTGTATATATAATGGTTGCAGCCCTATTTCAAGTATAATTGATGTAAACATCTTCAGTGTCTTTATTCTCACTGGTTACTTACGATAGCAGACGCTGTACTCCTGACGTCGGACCCCGTAATAATCTGGTGGACAACTGTGGGTACACACGCCTCTTTGTCTCATACCTCTTCTCTCCAGGAACAAAAACAGGCGTGGTCGACAGGTGACACACCCGTTAAACCGTGAGCAACTGGTACACCCCCGGGGACACACGGGGTAGTGCCCCACCACCGCTGGAAAAATAACAGGAAGAAAAAATTGAAATTGGTTCAATCGGTTTACACCCGGTTTTACGTAATCGTTCCTCAACGCGATATTTGGACCAAAACTTATCAGAAATGGGAAATTGTCATCCAAATTTAAAGGAATTGGTGTATATTAGGACGTCTTCTACACCACACATAAACTTTCCAGTTAGGAATAAAGGATGATATTTCTATTGAGAGTTTGAAATGCGGGGTGCTAATATCATGATATATAGCTGAATGATGTCCATGGTGTAGAACATGCTGCATAAAGACTCAAATCAATAATCTTATATGTTTAGACGAAATTAGTATCAATGGAATATATCCATACAGATTAAAAAGTCTCACCATATTCTATAAAATAGCATGACTGATTTCTCAGATATTCCCCTCAACTGTGAGACTGCATAAACTTAACTAACTAAAAGAATTTCTTTCAGTTGAAAACTATCGTGGAACGGTACCCTGAAAAATCTATGAAGTTATTACATCATCTTCGGGCATTTCCGCCATGAACGGAAAATCCGTTCTGGTATTATTTTGTTGTCTGTTACATGTACATTATATGGTATTTCCGGAACTGATTTAAACGGAATGTTGACGTAACGCCCACAACGTAATGAACACTGAAATAGAATTACCTGAGATCGCATTTCAATCGCTCAGAATAAGACATTGATCAAATCGGTTTAAGATTGATAGAAAGTATACATGTACAAGGTAAATATATAGCCCTTCCCGTTTTTGTTTTGGTGAAGTCTACAGTCTAAAGTGCCTGTCAATCAATTCTGACGTAATTTGACCTTTACTGAAAACATTAACGTGTCTCAAATTCTCCAAGTCGGGCGAGGCGACGATAGCCAGTTTTCATCATAATAGACGTTGACAATTAATGGGTGTACATGTTTTCGTAGAATGGCGGCGTTATAAATCCATAAGGATGTTATGAAATCTCGCGTTGATGGGCGAGAAAGAACGATAGGAATTCTTTGTTCCTTTTTATGTGAAACAAGAATTTATTGAACTTCTGTTAAGAGTTAGATGAACGCAATGGCATAGGCGCTTGAGAACCAGTTTCGGTAGAGTCTATATGTGTGTAGACCTATGTTTAAAGAGGTTCCCCGACAGTTAATGGTCCCTGTATTAGTTTGTAGTGTACAGTAATAGATTAACACAGCATGTGAACCATCTGCCAAAAACATCAATTTTGACTGGGTAAACAAATTGATCTAAGATGTTCATTTATATAAAATGATCTGTGAATATATAGGCAAATTATCATCTACAGTTAATAATACAAAAAATCAATGGTTACAACTGTTTTGAAATGAAAAAAAGAAAATATTTGTCATGTTTGATTTGAGGTTCTTCATAATGTTTCTGGTTTTGTTTTTACTCTGTATAAGTCTCTCAAAACAAAAACGCAGTTTTGTAGATAAATTTAAATTTTTTAAAGTAAAAGAAAAAATATAAAACTATATGTGTATTAGATTGTTAACAGTGCCAAAGGTTAGACCTGCAATGCTTAGTCTCTGGAAGTGTAAAACATATAGATTTATGGGATCAAAAATTCTCTGTAAATATCAAATTCTAGAGACGATGACCAGCCTTCACATGAGTTAAACAAATCACTCGTTGGTCATTACGCACGCGCGTTATTTGTTTATCGTACGTACGTACTCTAGCCTTTGTGTTCGGTCAGCTGAATGACTGTTAACACTGTCCAGCACTGACCAGTTCACAAACACTACAAACCTCAAAGTTACCATGGTCAGATGCCTCCTGAACGAGATTACCGAGAGTCATTGTTGGAATAATGTCGGTTAAGTTTTCACAATAATAACTTTTGAACGGTGGACGGTGATTAAATTTTCTTATGTAAGTCATTAATTTGAACAATTTTGTTATATGCTCTAGCGGGTCTGTTCGGTTACTTTCCAAATCAACAAGTGACATGAATCTATATTCGTTGCCATATTTTAGAAACTATATTGCTGTGCAGTGTCGAAAACAATTAGAGACGTTTTTAGGAGTGTTAGATTATCTCGGTAAGATTGGTTTCCCCCGTCGATCACGTAGGGTTTTCATACAAACAATTCACTACTGATCTTTAGGGGTGATTTTCATTTTTTCCCTCAAAAAGCCTTTGGTGTGTTGAAGTCATTATTGATAGACCAATTAAGTAATCGAATGTGAATTTACACAAAGAACACCAGTGTTTATTTTCTAATGTTTATAGCACATGAAACTGAGTAAGCTCTGAAGGAACGAACGATAAATATATAAAAAGATCAGTCCTTTTTGATACAAAAGGTGTCATTTTCAAAGAAGCATCACATATGGAGCGAATTATTATGGGATGCTATCAACAGAGTAAGGATTATTTATAAACAGCAGCACCTAATATCCGTACTTTTGCAGGTCATGCTATCTTGACCGCGAACACAGTTGTTTGAAGACAAGCTCTTATTATTACAAGTCCACAACCAAAGAAAGAACGTGCTTGATATTTATCGTTCGAAGTGTATGAAATCAAAGAGAATAAGAAGAAAGGTAGCGCCAGAGTGGTCCCCCTTTACGTAAACCACCCATATCTGTTTAAATGAAGAACGTCAAGATGGCTTTAATAAACCAACACCGGAAGTTATCAAGGAATTCTGGGTCTAAATTGTGTTTGAAGGTATTTGGAAGACAGTTTAAGACTTTACTGAAAAAAGTTCTCTGGTGTGTTTAACATTATGTCAAAGTGGTAATTTGTTAGATTCCGAGACCCACATGCTAGTGTTTACAAAACCTGTAACCTGCTGAGGCATACGTGAAGTCGACACCTACTAGATAGATAGTTTTTGTTTGGATTTAGCTCGTGCTGTACGCCCAGTATCAATAACACACGGCATTCTTACGCAATGTTGATATTGTTTTAGATCTATCAGAGGAAGCTTATTTCAAGCGTTCAGCAAACAGGTGGCAAAATTATCTTTATGTAGTTTAATGTGTCTATGAAGCAAATTGCAGACTTGCCCGGTGGATGTTTCTTTCCCAGAATGAGGGAATTTGTTTGTATCTTTTAACGATATAGGTAATTTTACTGATATATGTACGGCTTTCTCCAAGGGTGGGAGATGTTTATGTTAATCGTTCGCCTCAGGAACAGCAGAATCTTTATTACTATGCACAGTGTTACATAATGATCACATCGCTCTTCGTGTCAAACTATCTTCCTCTGCCATCGATCATTTCAGAATCCACGGCATGTTTCAATTATAACGGAATAAGATTACTAATCATGTATGTCTCATCTTTATGAGAGAAAGAATCAAGAAAATTCCATAATTCAGTTTTTCATAATTATCGCTTATATTGGTTTTAGTTTGGTAGTTTTAAGCTCATTTGCGGTTTGGATTTCACAGAAATCCTTGACGCTTTTTACTTATTCTGTCGGAGCTTATTAGTTCCAAGTTCGATTCTTATTGACGCTTTTCAAGTTAGCAAGTTCGACAGAAATTTCTTAAATGCCCACATGTCCACTACAACAGTTTGTCTTCATTGTGTTAATGGTTTTATTTTTAACTTCATTACCAATGTAGGTCAAAGGTCATGGTCAAGGATACATGGTCAGCAAGTTTGGTACCGGCAGAAAGGTTTTGTCACAAGGAACACACATGCCAAATATGAAAGCCATACCTCTTATGATACAATAGTTAAGGCCAACGATTTTTTTAAATATAGGTCAAAGGTCACGGTCAAGGTCACATGGTCAACAATTTTGGTATCACCAGAAAGTTCTTATCACAAGAAACATACAATCCAAATATCAAAGCCCAACTTCTTATGGTACAATAGTTTGGGCAAGGTTATAGTTGACAACAGATGAACAAATAGCACAAAACAAAATGAACAACAACAACAACAACAACAACAAGAAACAACAATTATAAACAACATTGTATGCACTACAGGTGGAATCCAACATGACCTGATCCACTGTCTTTTGTTATACCATATAACAAAGGAAACAGATAAGACAACGGGACCTCAAGACGTTTTGAAACAGGTTTAGCCGCGTCGAATAAAGTGAAACGTTAACGATATTTAATGAAAGCTTTCTGGATTTATTATCCACCGAACACAAAACATAGTATTTGGCTATAAATGAATGCATGAAAGTTCATTGTATCGACACTAAAGGTAGCGCTAGAGACATATTGACATATACATTTTTGTATCATAAACACAATATACATGTTAACCGAAAATAACCAATATTACAAACTATGCCGAGAGAAAGACACTTATAATCAGGCGTCCCATCAAGGTTTTCTCCAGATGGCACACGCATTAAGATTTTAAAATTAGTAAGTAAATAGATAGATAAATAAATAAAAAAAACGAAACGGATTATGTGCTAAAACCTATTTGTACACTATATAAGAATGCTGATCGATACATCAATATATCAATTCTTATATTAAAATAGCAAAATGGAATAAAACCATTTTGTGTTAAGTACATAGTAGAATACTTTATGAATATCTGAAAGGCATTATTTTCAAAAGATATGAAAAGTCTGTTCTAAATACTAATTCTTTAAAGAAGCGCTATCATAGCGTTAGAAGAGTGAAATCGATTCTCGATGGGCTGTGTTTGGTGTCGAACGTGTTACACAGAATGTACTTTTCTGGGACGGTGGTATGCTAGCAGTTTCTCGTACTTCCAAGGCGTACAAGAACTCCACGTGTTCATTAATTATACATTTATATCTATTTGTTTATATAAAACGGTTATTTGAAGGGTTGATGAGGCGCCGACAGGATTACTGAAAGCCGTCTTTCGTCAAATATCAGTCACATCGTTTAAACGTTTTTCGCTACACAAGTTTGAGGCTGTATATCATAGCGTCTATACTACACGGATGCAATACAACAGTATCACCCTTTTCTGTTCTATAACTAACAGCAGAGAGCAGACTATCCACACGAATTGTT